GTCGCAACCTTCGCTCTCTCTCTCCCGCTACTCTCTCCTCTTCCATCCTATCATCTCTTCCCTCTGCTCAATCCTTCTCCCTCCAATCTCCTGATTCAGCCTCCTCAACCCTCCTCTCCTCCCTTTCTGCATCCTTTGACTCTCTATGTCCCCTATCCCCCCGGCCGGCTCGGTCCTCCCCTCCAGCTTCGTGGTTTGATGACTCATTGCGAGCTCACAGAACAGAGCTCCGGGCAGCTGAGCGGAAATGGAAGAACTCCCTGCAGACCTGGCATCTTTTCACTCCCTCCTCTCTACATTTTCTTCCTGTTTCTGCTGCTAAGGCCACTTTCTACCGCTCTAAATTCCAAGCATCCGCCTCTAACCCTAGGAAGCTCTTTGCCACATTCTCCTCCCTGCTGAATCCCCCCCCCCCTCCCTCCTCCCTCTCTGTGGATGACTTCGTCAACCATTTTGAAAAGAAGGTTGACGACATCCGATCCTCGTTTGTTAAGTCAAATGACACTGCTGGTCCTGCTCACACTGCCCTACCCTATGCTTTGACTTCTTTCTCCCCTCTCTCTCCGATAAAATCTTGCGACTTGTGACGGCAGGCCGCCCAACAACCTGCCCGCTTGACCCTATCCCCTCCTCTCTTCTCCAGACCATCTCCGGTGACCTTCTCCCTTACCTCACCTCGCTGATCAACTCATCCTTGACCGCTGGCTATGTCCCTTCCGTCTTCAAGAGAGCGAGAGTTGCACCCCTTCTCAAAAAACCAAAACTCGATCCCTCTGATGTCGACAACTACAGACCAGTATCCCTTCTTTCTTTTCTCTCCAAAACTATTGAGCGTGCCGTCTTTAGCCAACTCTCTTGCTATCTCTCTCAGAATGACCTTCTTGATCCAAACCAGTCAGGTTTCAAGACTGGTCATTCAACTGAGACTGCTCTTCTCTGTGTCACAGAGGCTCTCCGCACTGCTAAAGCTAACTCTCTCTCCTCTGCTCTTGTCCTTCTAGACCTGTCTGCTGCCTTTGATACTGTGAACCATCAGATCCTCCTCTCCACCCTCTCCGAGCTGGGCATCTCCGGCGCGGCTCACTCTTGGATTGCGTCCTACCTGACCGGTCGCTCCTACCAAGTGGCGTGGCGAGAATCTGTCTCCGCACCACGTGCTCTCACCACTGGTGTCCCCCAGGGCTCAGTTCTAGGCCCTCTCCTATTCTCGCTATACACCAAGTCACTTGGCTCTGTCATATCCTCACATGGCCTCTCCTATCATTGCTACGCTGACGACACACAACTAATCTTCTCCTTTCCCCCTTCTGATAACCAGGTGGCGAATTGCATCTCTGCATGTCTGGCAGACATATCAGTATGGATGACGGATCACCACCTCAAGCTGAACCTCGGCAAGACGGAGCTGCTCTTCCTCCCGGGGAAGGACTGCCCGTTCCATGATCTCGCCATCACGGTTGACAACTCCATTGTGTCCTCCTCCCAGAGTGCGAAGAGCCTTGGCGTGACCCTGGACAACACCCTGTCGTTCTCCGCTAACATCAAGGCGGTGACCCGATCCTGTAGGTTCATGCTCTACAACATTCGGAGAGTACGACCCTGCCTTACACAGGAAGCGGCACAAGTCCTAATCCAGGCACTTGTCATCTCCCGTCTGGATTACTGCAACTCGCTGTTGGCTGGGCTCCCTGCCTGTGCCATTAAACCCCTACAACTCATCCAGAATGCCGCAGCCCGTCTGGTGTTCAACCTTCCCAAGTTCTCTCACGTCACCCCGCTCCTCCGCACACTCCACTGGCTTCCAGTTGAAGCTCGCATCTGCTACAAGACCATGGTGCTTGCCTACGGAGCTGTGAGGGGAACGGCACCTCCGTACCTTCAGGCTCTGGTCAGTCCCTACACCCAAACGAGGGCACTGCGTTCATCCACCTCTGGCCTGCTGGCTCCCCTACCTCTGCGGAAGCATAGTTCCCGCTCAGCCCAGTCAAAACTGTTCGCTGCTCTGGCACCCCAATGGTGGAACAAGCTCCCTCACAACGCCAGGACAGCGGAGTCACTCACCACCTTCCGGAGACATTTGAAACCCCACCTCTTTAAGAAATACCTGGGATAGGATAAAGTAATCCTTCTACCCCCCCCTTTACTCCAACCCACCCCCCCCCCCCCCAAAAAAAAAATTATTACGGGAGCTGAGTCACTGGCTCTACTAGTGCTCTCCCATGCCGTCCCAAGGAGGGGTGCATCACGTCATGCCAGGATTTTTTCGCTATACTCGACTTGAGTGTATTGAGTCACTGATTTTCCTGTCTGGTTTTGCCCCACCCCCTGGCTCGTGCGGTGGGGGAGATCTTCTAAACTCAGCCTTGTCTCATGGTAGTAAGTGGGTGGTCCGTTGATATCCCTGCCTGATTGGCCTTGTCTGGGGGTATTGTCGGACGGGGCCACAGTGTCCCTCGACCCCCCTGTCTCAGTCTTCAGAAGTCTATGCTGCAGTAGTCTATGTGCCGGGGGTAATTCTCCTGTCTTATCTGGTGAACTTAAGTTCTCTCTCTCTCTCTCTCTCAATTAAATTTCAATTTCAATTTAAGGGCTTTATTGGCATGGGAAACGTGTGTTAACATTGCCAAAGCAAGTGAAGTAGATAGTAAACAAAAGTGAAATAAACAATAAATATTAACAGTAAACATTACACTCAGAAGTTTCAAAATAATAAAGACATTTCAAATGTCATATTATGTATATATACAGTGTTGTAACAATGTGCAAATAGTTAAAGTACAAATGGGAAAATAAATAAACATAAATATGGGTTGTATTTACAATGGTGTTTGTTCTTCACTGGTTGCCCTTTTCTTGTGGCAACAGGTCACAAATCTTGCAGCTGTGATGGCACACCGTGGTTTTTCACCAAGTAGATAAGGGAGTTTATCAAAATGGGGTCTCTCGATCTCTGCTCTCAGATCGCGCTCTAGAGCTCTCGAGCTCTATCTCGAGGAGAGAGAGCTAGCGATAGCGATGGATCGGAGATAGCTCTCTCTCTCTCGATGTCTATCTCGTCTAGCTATCCTAGAGGCTCTTATCTCTCTCTCTCTCTCTCTCTCTCTCTCTCTCCTCTCGTCTCCTCTCTCTCTCCTCGTCTCTCTCTCTCTCCTCACCTGTTGCAGGTTCCTGCCTTTCTAGAGAGTTTTTCCTAGCCACCGTGCTGAGTTTCTGTATAAGCACTTTGTGACATCTGGTGATGTAAAAAGGGCTTTATAAATACATTTGATTGATTTAAATACCTTTTATTGACATAACATCTATGCGGATTAAATAAACAGCAAATTAACCCTAAACGGCAGTGAGTACACTTACATGGTCAAAGACACACTAAACACCAGTCAGGGTGTCCACAAGAAGGATTGTCCATGTGGAAAGGGTCCAGATGTAAGTTGAGGTGGAGGACAGGAGTTTATAGAGGTTGTCTCATCCTGCCCTCCTGGAAACAACTGAAGAGTTCAGGGGCAGCCTGGGGTCTCCAACCCCAGGCTAGGTCACTGATTGGCTGACTGGGTCAACGGACTCTGTTCCCTGGCAACTTGGTCCCTAACACATAGCTGTGAAGTGGCCTTCTGCAGCAGGATAATAGACTCAGGCTGAGGTTGGAGGTTGGTAACCTACCTCGCTGTAAGAAGTTACAAAGTCCCAGGGCCAGAGAGAGGGTTTGAGAAGTACTCATGGGCAACTTTAGCCTAACTCTAATGACATGGTTAAATATTTGTTGAAGCGGTACACAATTGTACAGTATGCTTCATGTGTGTGTGATGTTAGTGTGATGTTCTGAGAGTTGTGCATGTTTGTACTTACTGGTACGGACACTTCATAAACGTATCCGAAATATGGTGTCCCGACAAAGATAGGGGGTGTGTCCTGGGTATCAATCACATTGATTGTCAAGGTGGCAGAGGATGACATCACCTGTTCCTTCCCATTGTAATTTCCACCACCATCCTGTTACAGAATCAAATATCCCAAATTATACATCCTTATTTTGTGTAATTTAAATTAAAAGATCAGACATGGCTGTGTGGTCCTTTAACCATTATTTATCCAATTTTGTCTTAATTGAGATAAAATCTATCTTTCAAGAAGGACTCGGCACAAGATAGCAGCACAATCAACAGTAGAGATAACAAGGTGGATCATACTGCTGCTGGAAGTCTGTGCCCTACAATTTTTCAGAATTCGCGGGCAGTCCATCTTATTTATGTTGGGGGAAAAGTCGATGTAAAACATTGTTGAATTCAAACGTTCTGTTGACAGGTCCAAGACAGTTTGCGATTCTTTTCTCTTTCTAGATACAGCATAAATTACTGCTAAAGATTCTGCCAACACAGTAAATAGACCGGTAGCTTATGTAAAATATTTGACAGTATGGGTAGGCTACAGTATTGCTGTGCGATAGGAGCACGACATCATTGCCTATTTAATCTCTGAGCGTATACCAAGACAGGACATATAAACCCAATAATCTATTGATAAACTAAATATTTAACAGTAATTTGTCTTTTGCATGCCGTGTCTTGATGCCAATAGTTCCAAATTATACAGTAAATGAAGGGCATTATTGTCATACAGGATATTTATAACGGGAAGCATGTGTATGTATGGCGTGCGCCAAGTTTATTAATCTCAATATTTGTGTACGTGCGCAGACTTCTCAGAAATGGCGCATGCAGAAATGTAGTGTGAAATTTGCGCAATAGTTATAAATGAGGCCCCAGGACACTAGCATGCCTGAATCCTAGATTTAACCACAGTGACATTGGCCAATTGCCTGAATGTGTTTTTATTAGCGGTGTGCTATTGATTTTTCATTTACTTCATGTATATCCTGTTTATCATGAGGATTCAGTACCCCATTCCTTATTATAAGGTGATAAAGAGTGAGCATGTTGTTTGCCAATACATGATATACTGTAGGGTTATCAGTGTTATCAGTGGCAGTCAATGACCATTACCTTGGCCACTACTGTGATGAAGTGTGTCGTCGACCTCTCATAGTCCAGCATCTCCCCGGGCTTGATCCTCAGCACACCACTGTGTCGGTCTATGGCAAACTTACTGGACTGACCATTAGTCTGTCATGGCAGAAAGAAAGGCATCATATTAAAAGCTTAAATACATACCGATGACATCAAACAGCAAAGAGCCTCTCCATCCTGAAACCCCACCATCACCACTCACTCAGGTAAACATGAGCAGACATCTCATGCCAGTAATCAGATAAATACATAACCACTACTCTAAGGACCATGGGAATTTAGACAAAGAGTGTATACAATATATGCATATCTATGTTTGGATATAAAGAGGCCATATGCCCTGAAGAGGGGCAGGCAGGTAAAAAGCTGGTGTGTCCAGATGTGCTTTGCATCAGTGTCACTCTTGCCCAGCTATGCTCTGCTCCTAATAGCACGTCCCCACACAAAGTGCACAACAACATTCCCGCCATCTCCGGCCAAAGCAGCCCTCTAAGCCACCAATACCTCACACAAATTGAACTGTGATTTAATCCCCGGCCGATGAGCCCCATAACTACACACACGTGTTCACATACAGACACGTGCATGTGTGTGTAAACATACACACAGGACTGTTTCGCTAGCACGGACTAGAATATGTTCCGGGATTCATCCGATAACATTGAGGAGTTTACCACATCAGTCACTGGCTTCATTAAGAAGTGCATTGACGACGTCGTCCCCACAGTGACCGTACGTACATATCCCAACCAGAAGCCATGGATTACAGGCAACATCTGCACTGAGCTAAAGGCTAGAGCTGCCGCTTTCAAGGAGCGGGACAATTTTCCGGAAACTTATAAGAAATCCCGCTACGCCCTCTGACGAACCATCAAACAGGCAAAGCTTCAATACAGGACTAAGATCGAATCCTACTACGCCGTGTCTGACGCTCATTGGATGTGTCTGGGCTTGCATACTATCACGGATTACAAAAGGATACCCAGTCACCAGCTGCCCAGTGATGCGAGCCTACCAGATGAGCTAAATGCCTTCTATGCTTACTTCAAGGCAAGCAACACCATAGTGCCCTCCAAGCTCATCACTAAGGTCAGGACCCTGGGACTGAACACCTCCTGCTGCAACTGGATCCTCGACTTCCTGACGGGCCGCCCCCAGGTGGTGAGGGTAGGCAGCAACACATCCGCCATGCTGACCCTCAACATGGGGGCCCCTTAGGGGTGCGTACTTAGTCCCCTCCTGTACTCCCTGTTCAACTACGACTGCATGGCCGCGCACGACTCCAACACCATCATCAAGTTGGTTGATGACACGACTGTGGTAGGCCTAATCAGTGACGACGATGAGACAACAACCTCTCCCTAAACGCCAACAAGACAAAGCATGCCCCCATCCACATTGACAGGGCTGTAGTGGAGCGGGTTGAGAGCTTCAAGTTCCTCGGTGTCCATATCACTAAGGAATTAACATGGTCCACAAATACCAATTAACATGGTCCACAAATACCAATAAAGTTGTGAAGAATGCACGACAATGCGTCTTCCCCCTCAAGAGGCTGAAAAGATTTGGCATGGGCCCTCAGATCCTCAAAAAGTTATACAGCTGCACTGTTGAGAGCATCTTGACTGGCTGCATCACCGCTTGGTATGGCAACTGCTTGGCATCTGACCACAAGGCGCTACAGAGGGTAGTGCGTACGGCCCAGTACATCACTGGGGCCCAGGCTCCCTGCCATCCAGGACCTCTATACCAGGCTGTGTCAGAGGAAGGCCCTAAAAATTGTCAAAGACTCCAGCCACCCAAGTCATAGACTGTTCTCTCTGCTACCGCACTTCAAGTGGTACCGATGCACCAAATCTGGAACCAACAGGAACCTGAACAGCTTCTATCCCCAAGACAAGAGACAGCTAAATATTTAACCAAATGGCTCCCAGGCTATCTGCATTGACCCACTTTTGCATTAACTCTTTTAACTCATCACATATGCTGCTTGCTACTGCTTATTATCGATCCTGTTGCCTAGTCAATTTTCCCATACCTACAGTGCCTTCAGAAAGTATTCACTCCCCTTGACTTTATCCACAGTTTGTTGTGTTACAGCCTGAATTTAAAATGTATTAAATTCCGATGTTTTGTCACTGGCCCACACACATTAACCCATAATGTCAAATAGGAAATATGTTTTTCGAAATTTTTACAAATTAATTAAAAATGAAAAGCTGAAATGTCGTGAGTCAATAAGTATTCAACCCCTTTGTTTTGGCAAACCGAAATAAGTTCAGGAGTAAAAATGTGCTTATCAAGTCACATAATAAATTGCATGGATTCACTCTGTGTGCAATAATAGTGTTGAACATGATTATTTTATGACTAGCTCTTCTCTGTACCCCACACATACAATTATCTGCAAGGTCCGTCAGTCGAGCAGTGAATTTCAAACACAGATTCAACCTCAAAGATCTTCATTGCCTCGCAAAGAAGGGCACCAATTGGTAGATGGGTAAAAAAATAAAAAAGCAGACATTGAATAGCTCTTTGAGCATAGTGAAGTTATTAATTACACTTTGGATGGTGTATTAAAGTTGAATTGCTTTGCCACAAGTTTAATTGCTTTGCCACATGCCGCCTTCTTTTCACTCTGTCAATTTGGTTTGTATTTCGAGTAACTACAATGCTGTTGATCCATCCTCAGTTTTCTCCTATCACAGCCATTAAACTCTGTAACTGTTTTAAAATCATCATTGGCCTCATGGTGAAATCCCTGAGCGGTTTCCTTCCTCTACGACAACTGAGTTAGGAAGGACGCCTTTATCTTTGCAGTGACTGGTTGTGCTGATACACCATCGAAAGTGTAATTAATAACTTCACCATGTTCAAAGCAATATTAAATGTCTGATTTTTTTTACCCATCTACCAATAGGTGCCTTTCTTTACGAGGCATTGTAAAACCTCCATGGTCTTTGTGGTTGAATCTGTGTTTGAAATTCACTGCTCGACTGAGGGCCATTAAAGACAATTGTATGTGTGGGGTACAGAGATGAGGTAGTCATTCAAAAATGATGTTAAACACTATCATTGCACACATAGTGAGTTCATGCAACTTATTATGTTACTTGTTTTCATTATGACTGCCATAGGCCAATGGCCACTGACGTTTGATTTTGTAAATTAAAAAAATTAGCCAAAAAGAAAGCTGTCCTGCTCCTTCCCTGACTTTTCCTAAATGTTTGTATTTTACATTGTTCATTTGTCAGAATTTTGAAATCACAAACAAAAAGGTATCTAGAGCCTTTTTACCTGTTGCTTTCATACCTATTCCCACCAAGACAATGTGCTGTAGGACGTTGGCACCCAGCCAGAAATATACGATGCCAGTCAGCCTGCACAGCCAGGCCATCTCTCTCTCATCACTGAATGAATGACAAATGGATGAATGGGCGATAATTATGCACCTTACTTCACCATTGAATTTAAATTAGGCCTAACTGAATGATAAGGAGGGTGAAGAGGTTGATTTAATTTAGAAAGACAATAGTGTAATGATGAGTTTGTATTATGCCTATCTATCAGTGTCACGTTCGTTTAAGGACGGGTCAGACCAAGGCGCAGTGTGAAATGCGTACATGTTTATTTCACTGATAAGCACACAAACAAAACAAACCAACGACACGTGAAGTCCTAAGGCTAAACACAATACAAGCCTCAACCACGGAACAAGATCCCACAAAAACTGAATGCAAACAGGCTGCCTAAGTATGATCCCCAATCAGAGACAACGAGTGACAGCTGTCTCTGATTGGGAATCACACCCGGCCAAACATAGAAATACAACACCTAGACTGAGAACATAGAAAATACAACATAGAACTCCACACCCTGACTCAACATACTAGAGTCCCATACGTCAGGGTGTGGCAGTACCCCCCTCCCCCCCACAGGTGCGGACTCCGACCACACAAACCTTACATAACAGGGTAGGGTCTGGGTGGGCATTCCGGCTCCTTGCACCAGGCCAGTGGTGCGTGTTGCCAGTCCGGCCCGGCCCCGGCCTGGTGCGTGGAGCAGGAACAGACCGGGCCGGACTGGCAACACGCACCACTGGCTTGGTGCGGGGAGCAGGAATGGGCCAGGCCGGACTGGCGACACGCACCACTGGCCTGTTGCGAGGAACAGGAACAGGCCATACCAGACTGGGAACACGCACCACTGGCTTGGAGCGGGGAACAGGAACGGGCCGGGCCGGACTGGGCACACGCACCACTAATTTGGTGCGAGACGCAGGCACGAGGTGTACCGGACTGGGAACTGACATTAGAGATCTCCGACTGTACCAGTCTTTCACTCTCCGCGCCCAGTCCTCCTCCCGTGAAAACTCCTCCCTGAGCCCCCACGAGTGCAGTGGTCGGGGCTCTTCTCCATCGATCCCCGACCACCCTTTTAGCCCCCCAAACATTTTTCTTGGGGCTGTCTCTCGTGCTTCCTCCTCGGCCGGCGCCTTCTGTGTTGCCGTTGCTCCTCTCTAAACCGGGCCTCCACTGTCTCCTCCCAAGGACGGCGATCCATCCCAGCCTGAATCTCCTCCCATGTCCAGGATCCCTTTCTGTCCAGGATCTCCTCCCATGTCCAGGATGTCTGCTCCTGGGCACGCTGCTTGGTCCATTTTTGGTGGGATCTTCTGTCACGTTTGTTTAAGGACGGGTCAGACCAAGGAGCAGCGTAAAATGCGTACATGTTTATTTTACCGATAAACACACGAACAAAACAACAAACCAGCGACACGTGAAGTCCTAAGGCTAAACACAATACAAGCCTCTAACACGGAACAAGATCCCACAACAACTGAATGCAAACAGGCTGCCTAAGTATGATCCCCAATCAGAGACAACGAGTGACAGCTGTCTCTGATTGGGAATCACACCTGGCCAAACATAGAAATACAACACCTAGACTGAGAACATAGAAAATACAACATAGAACTCCACACCCTGACTCAACATACTAGAGTCCCATACGTCAGGGTGTGACAATCAGCAGCAAATAATTTGACCACACACCTTCTCTTTTACATTTTACTTTGTAAAAAGAAGCTGTTATGGGACTGTTTTATTTGCTACAACTCTTTTACTAATCGAATGTATTGTAAGGGAAACAAAAAAATGCAATGTGTTGCAGTAGGCCTTTAGAATAATGCAAAACATATCCTTGACTCTATCCAACTTGATGAGCGGGAAATATATGATGCCAGTCAGCATGCACAGCCAGCCCATCGAAACTACACCGAAACTAATTTCACACATAATAAGAGTCAGCCTATAGACACGATTACATTGACAATAATCTGGTGAGTAACAATATTAGGCCTATCAGTTGTCAAATTGTACATGAAGACATGGGCGCATCATGTAATTTACAGATGCAGGGAAAGGATCATCACTTTATCAAATCCTCCTTCAGAGTCACTTGCATATTTCTATATAGTATCAGTAAAAGCATATTGTGCAGTTTCTATTACACTTACCATTGTCAAATAACTCTCATAATTCAAGAGGTGTAGCTCTATTTACAAATGTCACTTTTTCCAGGGATATCCCTGCTGTCCATGCATTCAGCACATGACCACTCGCGTGGCACCATTTCTTTGGCTACTAAACAAAAAGTAGTAACATAATAAACTTCGTAAATGATATCATAGGTAGGACTGGTGGAGTTATGTCACACATGCAGCTAACAAAAACATATGGAAATGTCTGCTCTACCCAAAATTACAACCAAATAATTGCAGCATTACCGCAAAAATGGAAGAGGAAAGTGGAAAGGGGAAAAAGGAAGGAACTTCTCTGTTGGCCCTGCATTAAAGAACATAATTGGTTAAAGAAAATTCGGATAAATAAAAAAGTATACCAGTTTAATTTAAGGGCCAAAGGATTGACAGCCGTCCCATATAGATTGCAAAATAGTTGGGAAGAGATTTTTGACGTACCGATTACATAGCATACTGTTTATGAACTGATACGCAAAACGACGCCGGATTCAAAACTTATAATTTTTCAATTTAAATTATTCTACAAAATTCTTGCTACCAATATAATGTTATTTATATGGAGGATACAATCTTCCCAGCTCTGCAGATTTTGGTACTGTCCATTTGTAGCTTGTTTTTGGACTCAGGTCCATGAATGGCTAAAGGATTGCAATATTTACCTGGAGCTAACCCTGCAGATAGCACTACTGGGTGATCTGAAAAATCACAGTCAATCGATCAATAATATAATAATACTTTTAGCAAAAATGTTTATTTTCAATTTACAATCTGTAGAAACAATGAGAATAGAAGGGTTCAGAACTTTTGTAAAACATCACAGTACAGTTTAACAATATATTGCAAATAGAAATCCAATATGGATGGTGTTAAGTGATAGATGGGTGGTGTTGAATGGAGTTGAAGGATGGGACTAATAACAACTAACAACAACATGATAACTAATGTAAAGCATACTGTGTCCATAATAAGTATATAGGTTATAGGTTGAGAGCTTTGTGAAAGAGCACAGTTAGAAAGAAATGGCATATAGAAGCAAACTGGATGGACATTATGAAAATGATCGGAGAGGTTGAGGGTAGAGGAAGTTTAGGAGTAAAAACAAACAAAATGAATTATTGTAAAATTGACTGTGTCAATAAAATATGTATAGTATGTATAAACTGGAAGTAGGCTTGCCATAACAAAGGGGTAGAATACTTACTGACTCAAGACATTTCAGATTTACATTTTTTATTAATTTGTAAGCATTTTGAAAAACATAATGCCACTTTGACATTAGGGGGTATTGTGTGTAGGCCAGTGACACAAAATCTAAATGTAATCCATTTTAAATTCAGGCTGTAACACAACAAAATGTGGAAGAAGTCAAGGGGTGTGAATACTTTCTGAAGGCACTGTATGTTTGGGACAAATCCAAAAGAACACATTACTGAGTACCACTCTCCATATTTTCAAGCATAGTGGCGGCTGCATCATGTTATGGGTACACTTGTAATTGTTAAGGACTGGGGAGTTTTTCAGGATAGAAAATAACCAGAATGGACCTAAACACAGGCAGTCCTAGGGGAAAACCTAGTTCAGTCTGCTTTCCACCAGACACTGGGAGATGAATTCACCTTTCAGCAGGACAATAACCTAAAACACAAGGCCAAATCTACACTGGAGTTGCTTACCAAGAAGACAGTGAATGGTCCTGAGTGGTCGAGTTACAGTTTTGATTTAAATCTACTTTAAAATCAATGGCAAGACCAGACAATGGTTGTCTAGCAATGATTAACAACCAATTTGATAGAGCTTGAATAATTTTGAAAGGAATAATGGGCAAATGTTGCCCAATCCAGGTGTGGAAAGCTCTTAGAGATTTACCTAGAAATACTCACACAAGTAATCCCTGCCAAAGGTGCTTCTACAAAGTATTGATTCAGGGGTGTGAATATTTATGTAAATTATATATTTCTGTATTTCATTTTCAATACATTTGTAAAATTTCTAAAAACATGTTTTTCATTACGGGCATTGCCATTGGCTGCATGGAGTTGCATTAAGATAAATCCCATGCAGCCTTGTTTAAAAGTTCAAACACTGGAATGTGAGATGTAATCTACACCTCGATTAGGCTGATAGAAATCATAATTATTTTGTTTAATTATTTTTTATTTGAGCGTAGTTATTTATATATAGCCTACACTTTCTCGTTCTGAACTTCTAACGCGAGTGGGATGGGTGTGGCTTCCTGACAATGATCAAGAGCAGCTGATCACCGATTTGACAGCTCCAACACAGTAACACCCCTGACACCGACAAAACATCAGCTATGCGGGAGTCGGCTATGGCCGGTTAACACTTGATTTGATTTAATCTAGGCCTTAGTGCAGACCTGCGGTGACCTCTGGGTGGGGACTGGTTGGGGGCTTATCCTAGCCAGATGTTACAGTACCTGTAGATAGAAGGTGACCGAGCCTCCAGAGCCTGTATCCCGATCCACAGCCAGCACTTTGTAGATACTACTCCCAGATTCAGAGTTCTGGGATAAGCAGAAAAAAACACAAGGTAGTAATGTAGGGCATGACATGTAGGGCAAATTGAATAGGCCAGAGTAGAATGATCGCTGTTTTGGTTTAACTTCATTTGGGGGAAAACCTTGTCCACTGGTTACATTTTCTCTAGGTTTTTGCAGTTTTCATGTGCACTGACACCCATTCAAATCAATAGACAATTTGTTTCTCTTTCATAGCAAATCAATGTTAATGACCATGAACATTACAATGAGCCATTGGTCGATATAATGTAATTATTTCTAGTTGGACCTGACGCAATAGGGAAGAAGTGACGTCTGGTCATCAGCTAAGACAGCTATACTTTCTAAAGCCCATGGATGTTTTGCCTGTTAGCTAATATAAGGAAAGTATAGCATCGACGGTTCTGATTTTTTAAAATATATGTTATTGCCTTCATTTTTTATAAATTACATTATATTAGCCAACAGAAAAAACATATATGTTTTCTATAATGAGAGCTGTACCAGGCCTGGACTTCCTATTCTGCTCCCTATAAGCCCTGCTGAAAGAAAACAGCATAGACCAGCATAGATTTCAAGCTGGTCCATGCTGGTATGACCAGCATGGTCTAGCAGGTCTGACCAGCATGGTCTAGCTGGTTATGCTGGTTGACCAGCATGTTCTGCTGGTCAAGCTTGTCTAGCTGGTTAGGCTGGCCAACTAGCTGGTCAAGATGGTGATGCTGGTGACCAGCTCATGCTGGTGATTCTGGTGAACAGCTTTTGCTGGTATGCTGGTGATGCTGGTATGCTGGTGACCAAGCTGGTCCATGCCGGTCTATGCTGGTCCAGCATGGTCTAGCTGGCCAAGCTGGTCTGCAAAACCACACCCATCATTATCATATTTCCCAGCATGCTCTATTGCAGTTAGATTTGTAGAGTTGTTTGTTTCAATATCTTTTTTGTTTGTTGTGTTTTTGCATGTACATTGATTAATTAATTAATCTTCTGCTACACAAAGATAAATAACATACATTTTTCTAAACTAATCCAATCTGTTAGTTGGACCCGTTACCCATTACAATTGTTGGATAACCCCACTGGCTGGATTCCAATAGAAATTAAACATCACTTTTCAAGCCAGCATAATATGACTTTATGCTGGTCACCAGCAAAAACACAGTGAAGGCTGGTCACCAGCATGGTCTATGCAGTTTTTTTCAGCAGGGGAGATCTTGTCTTTCACTACAGTATAACCCAAAAACCTGGACATCATGTCCAGTACAGTACAGCTGTGCCAATTGCACTTTCGGAAGTATTGCATACCGACTGTTGAGAATTAAAACATTTTTTATATGAAGACCACAATGTTTTACCTCTGGAACATCCAAAAGAGAGGGCAGGTTTTTGAACACTGGTCGTTCATCATTGGCATCCATGACAAACACTGTGACCTTTTCAGTAACCTGCAATAAGAGAGGAGGCAACAGGGAATTCAATGACATATTTTTGATGAATGACAGATAATTCATAGTGTCTATAATTATTATATTTTTTTACTATATTTTATTCGGTTTACGTATAAAAACCAAGTATAACTGAGTATGCTTACCTTATTTCGGCCATCTGTGATACTGACAAGAACTTCAATAGAATCTAAAATCTTTGGTGGCAGAGGAAATAATGTCCCTCAAAATACAGTAGTTGATGTCAAAATTTCAAGACTTTGAGGCCACTGAATGTGAATGAAAGCTACATCAGACAAGGATAAATATTATACTCATGTATAATATATTTAATCTGAACCAATCAGAAAACATTCAAACTGTGTGTGCTATATGTTGATGTGAGGTGTACCTCTCTGTCCAGTTCTTCCACCAGAGTTATGTTTCCAGACTTGGGCTCCACTCTGAAGTATTCTTTGGCACCAGGTTCAAAGTTCAACCCATACCTCACCTCTTGTCCTTCCGGGTCGGTGCCATTGAGAGCATAGATCTGTGTGCCTGAGGAGCAAATTCATAAAATTTTCACAATACGCTACATTCTCACTGTAAGCTGTGGTTGAATTTTTTGTTGTTGACAGAAACATTTGGGGAATTGGATAGGTTTGTTTTGGTAGATAAAGTCTTAGGCAGAGGCAGGGAGGAAGGGGGGAAGGTCCTCAGTATTTTGGAGAAAAGTCTGAAACAATAATTGTCAACCCAGTAAAAGCATGTCATTGGCTCATCTCATCTGCTTTTCCCCCCTCAAAATAATTGTCATCCTCACTGCAAAAAAAATCCTGTAATCTTTACAGTAAATTACTGGCAGCACAGAAGCCAGTACATTTCTGTAGATTTACAGCAACTTTACTGAAACAAACATTTACAGCATTTTACTGGAACAGCTGTATTTTCTAGAATGTACAGTGCATTACTGGAAGCACAGTGATTGGTAAAACATTATAGATCTACAGTGTAGGCCGCTAGTGCCAACGATTGGCAGTATTTTTGTTCTATGTATTTGATATAGGGTGAATGCACCAATTTGTGAGTCGCTCTGTTTAAGAGCGTCTGCTAAATGACGTAAATGTGCCCTTGAGCAAGGCACTTAACCCTAATTGCTCCTGTAAGTCGCTCTGGATAAGAGCATCTGCTAAATGACTAAAATGTAAAATGTAAAATATGATATGCAGTGCCTACGGAAAGTATTAAGACCCATTGACTTTTTCCACATTTTGATACGTTACAGCCTTATTCTAAAATTGATTAAAAAAAAATTTTTCCTTATCAATCTATACACAATACCCCAAAATGACAAAGCAAAAAAAGGTTTTTAGAAATCTTGGCTAATTAATAAAATACAAAAATCTGAAATAACACATTTACATAAGTATCCTTTACTCAGTACTTTGTTGAAGCACCTTTGGCAACGAATACAGCTTTGAGTCTTCTTGGGTATGACGCTACAAGCTTGGCACACCTGTATTTGGGGAGTTTCTCCCATTCTTCTCAGCAGATCCTCTCAAGTTCTGTCAGGTAGGATGGGGAGCGCCACTCCTGCATTGTCTTGTTTTCATCAAGGTTCTCTCTGTACTTTGTTCCATTCATCTTTGCCTCGATCCTGACTAGTCTCGCAGTTCCTACCATTGAAAACATCCCCACAGCATGATGCTGCCACCACCATGCTTCACCTGGGATGTGCCAGGTTTTCTCCAGACATGACGCTTGGCATTCCGGTCAAAGAGTTCAATCTTGGTTTCATCAGACCAGAGAATCTTGTTTCTCATGGTGTGAGAGTCTTTAGGTGCCCTTTGGCAAACTCCAAGTGGGCTGTCATGTGCCTTGTACTGAGGAGTGGCTTCCGTCTGGCCACTTTACCATAAAGTCCTGATTGGTAGAGTGCTGCAGAGATGGTTGTCCTTCTGGAAGGTTCTCCCATCTCCACAGAGGAACTCTAGAGCTCTGTCAGAGTGACCATTGGGTTCTTCGTCACCTCCCTGACCAAGGCCCTTCTCCCCCGATTGCTCAGTTTGGCCAGGCTGCCAGCTCTATGAAGAATCTTGGTGGTTCCAAAGTTCTTCCATCTAAGAATGCTGCAGACATTTTTTGGTACCCTTCCCCAGGTCTGTGCCTCGACACAATCCTGTCTTGAAGCTCTACGGACAATTCCTTCAACCTCATGGCTTGGTTTTTGCTCTGACATGCACTGTCAACTGTGGGACCTTATATAGACTGATGTGTGACTTTCCAAATCATGTCCAATCAATTGAATTTACCACAGGTGGACTCCAATCAAGTTGTAAAAACATCTCAACGATGATCAATGGAAACAGTATGCACTTGAGCTCAATTTCAAATCTTATAGCAAAGGGTCTGAATACTTACGTAAATAAGGTATTTATGTTGTGTATTTATGATACATTTGCAAAAATGTCTAAAAACCAGTTTTTGCTTTGTCATTATGGGGTATTGTGTGTAGATTGATGTAATAATAATGTAATCAATTTTAGAATAAGGCTCTACAGTAACAAAATGTGGAAAAAGTGAAGTGGTCTGAATACTTTCCGAATGCACTGTACTTCTAATAAGTTGTACTCAAAGTCAATGAAGGTCGTTATTACTTTAAATTATTATGTTGTACTGACTCAAAACTAAATGAGAAGTCAAACCAGCAATTGTTTTTAAAGATATGATAACAAATGAACTTTTCCCCAGCATGCTCTACTGCAGGTAGATTTTTTGGAATTGTTTTTAATATCTGTGTTTTTGCATGTACATTGAGTGATTGATTGATTAAATGTTATGCTACAAAAAGTTTTAAAAAAAAAATCTCAACTAATCCTAATTTTTGCACCCGTTACTGAAATGGTTGTTCCAGTTTAACTGGCTTAGGTATTTTCCTCCTACTGTTCTTAACCCTGGCAGTCATTATGAGTGCAGGTTGCGGGTGAATACAAATGTAATCTGTTGGGTAGCCTAAGGCTGGCTCGAGTCCAATAGGAATTACACATCACCTTCTAAGCCAGCATAATGTAATTTACAGTTAGGGTTAGTGGGGGAAAATTACATTCAGACGGGCTATGCTGTTTTTTGCTTAGAGAATTGTATCTTATGTTCTAGTTTTTTTCTAAGCTGATACAAACTTGTCTTTGTGTGATTTAGTCATAAGACTGGGCGTATAGCTAAGAGCCGTTTGTGTGCGACTACAGCATGTGACACATCCCGTGTTTTTACTATCTACAGGATCTCAGCTGTGTGGAAACTTGCAGAAAGGAGCACATTATAGTGTGAGCTGTGGCAAATGCAGTTAGACAGTTGAGCCCTCGTGCTATCAACCTCGGGCTATCTTAATCTGCACAGACAAACTAATCGCCTTTTACACACTATGTTCCCCACCCCTGTTTACATACATCTGCTAAACTGCGACATAGACAAGATGTTGTACTTTCTATAAAAGCTGAGAGCCAACTCTGTTCATTGGGCTCTTGACTCTGCACCATTGAGTGACTGTTAACCGCTCCATTTTTGCAAATCTTATAATAAAGTTGTTTGAAGAATCTACAGTCTCTCTTCTTTAGAATTTCCACAACAATTTGGTGATGAGGATGGGATGGCTAACTCCATCTGCTGATCGCTCCCGGGGAGACCGAGGTTAACCATGCAGGGGGGCTACAGTAGACGTGGCTCAGGGAGCCCACACTCTGAATAAGCGGAGCAGAAAGGGACCTGCCTCGGACCCGGCAGGGAGCGTCAGTTGACGGATAAGCCATCCCAAACAGACAGAGTTAAGGGTGAGACTGATTTTCTTAAAGGTAACCTCCAATTGGGGAAAGTTCTAGGAACTTTTAGAAAATCCTGTTCTGGGAATAGGTCAGGCATGTTAGAGATACCAGGACAGAGTCCTGATGAAAGCGAATCCAGGATAAGATCCTGAGGTACTATACAGATACCAGGACACGGTCCTGAGGTAGAAGTAAGAAAATATTCCTGCAGGTTAGAAAAACATTGTAAAAGAACATTAATTATTCAGTGGACTGGTAAAACAGTTGGTTATGATTGGGAAACCAGCTATACATTTAAAATGTGCATAGGAAGAACTACCATTTGGGTACAACATTTAAAATTACATAGAGTAATACGAATATATTTTGATGGAGAAGAAATGACTTAAATTATAAGAAAGGAAGACATACCTAACCAAATACTGTTTGTTTTGTGTGTTTGTTTTTGTTTCCTGAGTTCGTGTGTATTGACGAGAGATTTATATTATGGACGGACGATGGACCCTAATTTTGGTAATATGTGTTGTCAACAACAGTGATATTTCAAGCGTGACACTGGTATAAGACATTAGGTCTCACATATTCTCCAGTAGTAAATTGGCAGACACTTCAGTATTGGTTCTAATACAAGGTATCAGGTGCTGTGACCAGTTAAAGGGCACAACTCTCCGGGGAAGTGGGTATCACTACCTTGGACAGTACCAGTCAAAAGTTTGAACACACCTACTCATTCAAGGGTTTTTCATTATTTTTCCTATTTTCTACATTGTAGAATAATAGCGGAAGACATCAACACTATGAAATAACACATTTGGAATCATGTAGTAACCAAAAAAGTATTAAACAAATCAAAATATATTTTAGATTTTAGATTCTTCAAAGTAGCCACCCTTTGCCTTGATGACAGCTTTGCACAATCTTGGCATTCTCTCAACCAGCTTCATGAGGAATGCTTTTCCAACAGTCTTGAAAGAGTTCCTACATATGCTGAGCACTTGTTGGCTGCATTTCCTTCACTCTGCGGTCCAACTCATCCCAAACAATCTCAATTGGGTTGAGGTTGGGTGATTGTGGAGGCCAGGTCATCTGATGCAGGACTCCATCACTCTCCTTGGTCAAATATCCCTTACACAGCCTGGAGATGTGTTTTGGGTCATTGTCCTGTTGATAGTCCCACTTAGCACAAACCATATGAGATGGCGTTTTGCTGCAGAATGCTGTGGTAGTGCAGTTAACTCTAATGAACTTATCCTCTGCAGCAGGGGTAACTCTGGGTGGTCCTTTCCTGTGGCGTTCCTCATGAGAGCTAGTTTCATCATAGCGCTTGATGGTTTTTGCGACTGCACTTGAAGAAACTTTCAAAGTTTTTAAAATGTTCCGGATTCACTGACCTTCATGTCTTAAAGTAAGGATGGACTGTTGTACTGTTCTACAGTGAGGTTGTACTTTCTATAAAAGCGGAGAGCCAACTCTGTTCGTTGGGCTCTTAACTCTGCACCATTGAGTGATTGTTAACCACTCCATTTTTGCAAATCTTATAATAAAGTTGTTGTTTGAAGAATCTACAGCCTCTCTTCTTTAAAATTTCCACAACAGGTTGCCAAATTCTGGTATATTTCTGAGGTTTTCCAGAAAATCCTGGAAGATTACTGGGGGGAAAAATTATAAAGTTTGTGATTTTGCAAACCTACTTGCAGGCCTGATGTGGCTTGTAAACTATGAGTTTCAGGTCACTGTATAAGGCCTTATGATATACTGTATGTAATGGTTCAATTATAATGATAATATTCACATAGGAACTCATTTGTGAAGGCCACAACACTGAAAATGAAAGAATTCAACAACCATGTCTCTGTCATTAACAAATACAGTCATGGGGAGTAACTCTACAATTCAATCAAAAAGGCAAGGCACACTGGGAAATGATTGGAGGCGTGGCTTAGTGGGGGCATTAAATTTAAGTATACATTACTCAAAAAAACTGTATTTGTATGACTCATGAAGGTAGTACTGCTCCCTTCAGCTATTTAAGTTTCTTAACTTTTTCTTGTTTTGGTAATCGGTTTCCTCAAAACGTTTGCGTAGCCAGAGCTTATCTGGTTTTACAGTGTAGTGACTGGGTGTATTGATACACTATCCAAAGTGTAATTAACAACCACCATCCTCAAAGGGATATTCAATGTCTGCCTGGAAATACAATTTCAAGTCTGGTACGGATAGTCCTCCTACAGCCAAAGAGCTGTTGTTTCTGATGAAGCATCCAAGATATGTAAAAGTCGACTTACGTTATCCAGCCGGAGCGTTCTAATTTCTGAATAATAGTTTAGATGGTTTAAAGCCTTAATAACACTGCCGTCCAATCACCAATTTTATTTCAGAAAACTGCCATTTACACATGAGCTACAAATAGATATAATTGGTTCAGGGCTTTATGGGCAGTTTCTTTACTTAAATGAAATGTCACAGAGCAAATCCTCCATTTTGGGGGTGGGGCTCATCGCGCTCTAGCGACTCCTTGTTCAGGAGCCTGTTAGTATCAGGAGCTGGTATGGCTTGCCGTGCAGAAGCAGAGAGAACAGTCTATGGCTTGGGTGTTTGGATTCTTTAATGGTTTTCCGGGCCTTCCTTTCACACGGCCTGATATAGAGTGATGTACTGGGCTGTCCGCACCACCCTCTGTAGCGCCATGCAATCGAGGGCGGTGCTTTTTACATACGAAGTGGTGATGCCGCAAGTCAAGATGCTCTCATTGGTACAGCTTACAACTTTTGAGGATTTGAGGGCCCATACCAAACCTTTTCCACCTCCTGATGGGGAAAAGGCTCTATCACGACTTCTTCACGACTGTGCGCGTGTGTGTGGACCATTTTATGTTCTTAGTGATTTGGACAGAGAGGAACTTGAAGCTCTCGACCTGCTCGACTGCAGCCCCGTCGAAGTGGATGGGGGTGTGCTCGCCCCCCAGTTTCCTGTAGTCCACGATCAGCTCCTTGTTACGTTTGATACCAGCGCGCCAAGGCATGCGGCGAAATAGCTAAGCAGTTAATTTCAAAGCAGTGTGCCGATGCTTGTATCGCTTTATCAGAAGAATGTGATCAATGACGTCCAAAGTTTTGTTTAGTCGAACAACCACCTGATTGGTTTGGTATTGGTTTTGGTAGAAGACAAAAAGGCTACACTGCGCATGCGCTATGTTGTGTGAGACGTCATGTATAACAATTAGGCTTTTCTAAATCATTGTGATCACCAGTTGCCACTAGTGTACAATGTGTTGATCAAAGCCTCGAGTAAGGAATAGGGCTGTGGCGGTCATGGAATTTTGTCAGCCGGTGATTGTCAAGCAAATTGACTGTCGGTCTCATGGTAATTGACTGTTAATTAATATTATTACATTTAGCACCCGTGGCTTCCACGCATAGCCTACAAGCCACTGATGCAGACCTTTGGAACATCTACATTTTAAAAAGTCGAATAAATCAATTTAATATAGCCTACACAATCACAATGAATACATTATTTATTTTAGACAGATCTAAAGAAACATGATATGAAGAAAATGTAGTCTATTTCAGAAGAACAGAATAGCATACTCTGAGTTGTCCTTATGTTAGGCCCTGATCTGGCTATGCCATATGGCTGTGGGCTACACTAGTTCATTTAGCAGACAAGATTTGCTTGGCATTATTTTATATTGTTTAATAGTTTGAAGAATACAATTGAACCTAGCTGAATGAAATAGAAAGGATATTTTCTCCAAATGATTTCCGAGGGAGTGCGCACATGCGGCAATTCTGTGTTGAGCGGTTAACAAAGAAACAGGTCCTCCTATATGCTTAACCTCTTCAACACTAGGCACCTAGCTAAAGTGCCTGCCTCGAAAATGCATGCCCAAATTGAATAGAGTATATCTCCAAAACGACAAGGGCTATCAATCATAATTAATTTGGGTATTACTGTGTCAGAGTACATGAAGCTAGAACACAGCATAAATTGGGAGGTTTTGATTCCGCCTGAAAGTAACTTCAGGTTTTATAGGGAATAATTTATTGGACTTATGCAGCTGCAGCCCCTAAACACTATGGGACCATAGCCCAATATCTGATGAGTACTTATGTGAAGTTTGATGCCAATAAAGTAAAGTAAACCAAAGTTGTAGGGGTTTTAGTTGAAGTATGTTTAGGCGGATTACCAAATGGAGACATTTGGGTAGATTTGGGCACCATCAGTGCCATTTGACTTTTATCAGGTACCAGACAGCAAAAGGCATTTGATTTCACTAACATATCACTATATGTGTACATTCCATCAAAATACAACTGTTTTGATGTTGTTTCCCATGTTCTCCCAGACCTCTATACGTGTTCCCATTAAAATAAACCATACAATGGGAAAGTTTGACTCCAAACTGAGCAGATTTATTAGAAACTATAAACAATAAATTTAAAAACAAAAATTACACACATCCCAAAACTATAAACAATGATATGGTGTCCTTGGGTGGGTTGTCACACAAAATGTAGACCCTTTTTTCTCTTCTCTATTATGCCACCTATCTTCTTCTTCCTCTTCTTCCTCCCCAAATCTTCAAGTTTCAGGCCTACCTCCACCACGCTGACTTGGATGCACTGACTTTGAGAAAGCTTTTCCTTTTCTTTTGGGTTGAGGGCTCTTTACAGGGGACTCAGTGTCCGATGAAGACCGTGGCCGAGGGAGGGGAGCAGTGCTCTGCCTGAGGAAGGGGAAGCTGTGGCTCATCACCCCTATAATCATCTTCACTGTACAAACAAGACAAAAGAGAAAAGAAAATCATGACTAAAACACACTTGTATTCATTCATTGACAAATCTGACTCAAAACAGTCAGATATATAAAATAAATAGTAGATCTATGAGAATGTTGACTAAAGTGATAATTCAGTGACAATAAATAATACACATAGCGTTCTATTGTAAGTCAACTTGTGCGTGGGCCTCTAAGCTAAGCTAGCT